GTATATATATATATATATATATATATATATATATATATATATACATACATATATATATATAACATATTGTGTCAGTTATCAATTGCTTAACATAACAAACTGTCCCAAAACTTAGTGGTTTAAACCTAGCAAATCCACTTTTGGGAATATATCCAAAGAAACCAGAAACACGAATTCGAAAAAATATATGCACCCCTATATTCACTGCAGCATTATTTACAATAGCGAAGACTTGAGGCAGCCCAAGTGCCCATGAGTAGATGAGTGGATAAAACAACTACGGTACATTTACACAATGAAATACTACTCAGCTGTAAAAAGGAAGAAAATCTTACCCTTTGCGACAGCATGGATGGACCTGCAGAGCATTATGCTAAGTGAAATAAGCCAGTCAGAGATAGACAGCACCATATGATTTTACTTATATGTGGAATCTAATAAACAAATCTATAATAAAAGCATAATATGCTAATTAGACCGGACAGCCAAACAACCTTCCAGACTAAGCCGCAGCAGCGGGGGCCGAGGCAGAGGCAGTTAGGGGCGGTCAGGCAGGCAGGCAAGCAGTTAGGAGCCAGCAGCCCTGGATTGCGAGAGGGATATCCAACTGCCCATCAGTCGGACATCCCCCGAGGGATCCTGGACTGTGAGAGGGTGCAAGCCAGGCTGAGGGGGAGACACACACACACACACCCCTTGCACAAATTTTATGCACTAGGCCTCTAGTTAACAAATAAAATAGAAACATACAGATACAGAGAACAGACTGACAGCTAGCTGTGAGAGGGAACGGGGCTGGGTGGAAAAGGTGAAAGAATTAAGTAAAGAAAAAAAGTAAAAGCTCATAGATACACACACATAAGACAATATATTTTATTTTTACTCCTTTTTCCACTTAAGAGGGATTCCAAGTGATAGCTGTTAACTATTCTCCAATGTCTACAGCCCATAAAGACATTTCCTGTTCACTCCTCTGAAAAAGGAGATCAATGCTATCTTTTCAAATATTCCTCTCTTCTTCCAATCTTCTCTTTGCTACTATTTTTCCTGTTACTTAGCACATTTATTGAGTCTTGTACTATAACTTCTCTATGCATGTACTTGAACTCCTAAATTCAAGCCAACTGAGACCTGCCTCCTGTAACACTGCCTACGCTAATTACTTGCTGATTCTGATACCTGACCAGCTCTATCACAACCCCCATGAAACTTTAGGTTAATCCCTCAATCTCTCTGTAGCTCAGTTTCTTCACTCTTCCAGAAGACTGGGTTCAACAACACCGAAAATAATGATTCCTATGACTCATCAAATTCTTCTCTAGTGTTCACCTCGCTCACAAAGTTCATTTCCACTCGTAGACCTGGCTGTGGGACACTCACTTGGCTGCATCATCACATTGTACTCTTTTTCTCCAAAAGAGTACAAAACGATGACAGGGGAAAGTGACTTCCTCTGGTATGTCAAGTGTGGGATTAATCCAGGTCTCTATTTTTGACACATGCTGCACCTTGTAGAGATTCAGGCCTGGCCTCCACAGATCTCTTCCAGAATAAGCCTGGGGCCTAAGATAAGAGGCATCCGAAGACCCTTTCCTCCTCCTACTCCCTCGGAAGTTTAAAAATCTTGCTTCCTTTTCAGCTGTTAGTCTGGGGGAGGATTTGTTTACTGTTGCTAGTGCCCAGTTGTTAGGTTGCTAGGTCAGTGGGGCTTACTGTGTGGGCGGTGATAGGGCCTATTTCATTGGTTTTATAAATAAATACCAACATTTGTTTCACGTGTCTTTTTCTTTTACCATCTGACAGCATCCCTTATCCCCTACCCATCCTGGGGAAAGTGTACGCTTTTATCTCTACAGTGAGAAGGGCTATGGAGCCAAAGCGCCCATGTACTGTGTTCATAGAAACATATTAGCAGTCACGTGGTTTGTTGTGTGTAGTTTACTGTAAACAAGTGACTCAGATCATAAGTCCCATTAGGACTAGTAATAGTAATTCAGAAACAACATTAAAGGGGGAAAGTGAACACTTACATCATCTTCTTTAAATGCCCAATTCCTCTGGAACAGATAAATCAAATTATGCAAACTCAACACCATAATAACCAAGAAATCAAAGTGTACATCTCCAATAATTGGACAAGAATATAGTATGTGTTCTCCTAATATGATACACCAATCAGGGCATCATTTATGTCCTATTCCTGTCCCAATCAGAAGAAAACATCATACAAACCCAAACTGTTACAAACAGGACTATAATTTTCCAAAATGTCAATATGATGAAAGACAGAAGCAGAGGAACCATTCAGAGACTAAACAGACATAAGCACAACGTGTAATCCTGGATTAAATCCTGGATTGGGGAGGGGCTAGGAGGGGATGCTATAAAAGACATTATTGGGATAATCACAGAAATTTGGATATGGACTTACATTACGCAAGAGTATTACATCGATGTTACGATTCCTGTTTTTGTTAATTGTACGGTGGTTATGAAAGATAATGTCCTAGTTCTTAGGAAATATATGCTGAAATATTTAGGGAAATGGGGTATGATGTTTGCAACTTTCAAACAACTAAAAAATATATAATACAGAGACAGATAAGCTAATGTGACTAACTGCTCATAAGAGATGAATAAAGGTGAGTTGCATTCCTGCAACTTTTCTGTAAATCTGAACTTATTTCAAGTAAAGCATTAAAAAAATTTAAAACGTGAAATGGAAGATTGAACTTGGATTGCTTACTTTTAAAAAGGACATTAATTGTGCAAGTCTCCACCATTAAGTGCTGTGAGATTTGTGTGTCTTTATATTTCTCAGGATCCAGCCTTTTTCCTTATTTACTAATAGTTTCCTCTCTTCTGCTGATACCCACCCTGCAGGACCTAAATATAAACTGAGAGAAAAACCTCCACATATGAGTTTTGTCCTTTTGTGTATTATTTCTTCCTCTCGGGGCAGAGAACTGACGCCCTCTCCAATGGACCGCCATGTGACAGTTACTTTTCTTCACCAAAATAGCCTAAGTCCCTGTGACCTAGTTCATGGAGAACGAAGTACACTCACTCTCCTTGCAAAAAACGAAAAGCAAACTGCCCATTGAGTGTACTGCTGATAGATACACTTGAAACCTGAAGTTTAAAAATTCTCAGTAGAGTCTGCCCAACTACCACACAACCATACTTACACAGAAAAATATTAACCCTAGAGTCATATACCTAAATCCAAGGGCTAAAACTATGAAACTGCTGGAAGAAAACATAGGAATAAATCTTTGTGACCTTGAGTTAGGCAAAGCCTTCTTAGATGATACCAAAAGTGCAAGCAATAAAAGAAATAATAGGTAAACTGCACATATTCAAACTAAAAACTTCTGTGCTTCAAAGAGCACCATCAAGAAAGTGAAGTGCTGCCCTAGCTGGTCTGGCTCAGTGGATAGAGCATCAGCCTGCGGACTGAAGGGTCCCAGGTTTGATTCCAGTCAAGGGCACATGCCTGGGTTGCAGGCTCCATCCCCACTAGGGGTCGGCTGCAGGAGGCAGCCGATCAATGATTCTCTCTCATCATAGATTGATGTTTCTATCTCTCTCTCCCTCTCCCTTCCTCTCTGAAATCAATATAAATATTTTTTCTTTTAAAAAGTGAAGTGTTAACCCATAGAATAGAAAAAAAAAAACTGTGCAAATCATATATCTGATAAGGGACTTGTATGTAGAATATATAAAGAACACTTACAATTAAAAGCTATTGCCAAAAATATACAAAAGACACATAACCCCATTTTAAAATGGGCAAGGGATCTGAGCAGACATTTCGCCAAAGATATATAAACGGCCAATAAGCACAAATAAAGATGCCTGAAATCATCAGCCATTGGGGAAATGCAAATCAAAACCACAATCAATTAATGTTTCACACCCACTGGGATGGCTACAATAAGAAAGTCAGGTAACAGAAGGTGTTGGCATGAATATAGAAACACTGAAACTTCAACATTACTGGTGGAAATGTAAAATGGTGCAGTTGCTATAGAAAACTGCCAATTCCTTAAATGTTGAAGTTATCATGTAGCAAAGCAATTATATGCTTAAGTATATACCAAGAGGAATGAAAACATATGCCTACACTTAAAAATGACTGTTCAAAGCATCATTATTCATACTAGCCCCAAACAGAAAACCACCTAAATGCCAATCCATCAACTGATGGACAAAATGTGGTATATCCATACAATGGAATATTACTTGCCAATAAAAAGGAACAAATATGGATACATGCTCCAACACGAACTTTCAAACATTATGCTAAGTGAAAGAAAGTCAGACACAAATGGCCACATATTGCGTGAATCCATTTATTTGAACTCTCCAGACCATAACAGCCCCAAATCCACGGGCCCCTCGCAGCTCTAACAATCCATCCCTCTTAGCAGGTGCCTCACCAAACAGGCACTTTTCACCACCCCGATTCAGATAATTCAGTGTCATGAAAAGTTAAAAAAAAACAACAACCAACTAAAAATGTCTCTCTCCAGCCCTGATTCATTCATTTATCCATGCCATCTTACAATTCCCTCCCTTCTGGGAGATGGTACCTCAGCTGTTCATTCAGACTCCTAGAGCAAGCAGCTCTCTCGCCAATGGCAGAGCGCCACCTAGTGGCAACACTGGGTAACTCACACTGGCAGTAGGAAGAGCACTCTACCCTAACGGAAATGCACTTCAGTGAAAGTAAGAAGCCACAAAACCATTTTGCAGAGCAATGCAATTGTTTTATATGTGCAGCTTCTCACCCTAACTCGTTTAGCTCACAGTCTTCTATGCATGTATGAGTCATTTCGAATTTACTAAATCAAATTTCATTTCCCAAACTGTGTTAAGCCTATATAAATTCATGTGTAGATGGTTAAAAATAATATGACAATGTCTTTGGGTTTATTATAAGTAAGTAAACAGGATAGATAAGTATAAAATGAAAAGAAATGTCACAATTTACTCACATATAATGGAGCTTGCTGTGGATTAAGTTTCATGACCCAGGACACTGAAAAAGAGAAGGGAGAAGAAATAAATGAGAATAAAATTAAAAGCTATTGCCAAAAATATAAAAACCACCTGAAGTCTTAGATGCCGGGCGTGGCTATCTGAGCACAATCGGAAGTCCAAAACTGTGGTGGACTTCAGAAGGGGAGGTCCTTTGCCAAATACCCTAAATTTGAGAATAAATTGACCCCATCTTCATAAGTCAGAGAAGCAGACCAAAGTAATTTCATTATAATGTGGCCTAAGTCTTACCTGTTCATAATAGGAAACTGAATTAAAGCACATACTAACCAGCAATATAAACAACAGTACAGAAATGTCACCCATACATGAAAACATAGATAAAATCCCACGGTTTGTGTTCTATCAGATCACAGAATCTCATTAGGAATAAACTGAAATCCAAACAGAATAAATAGGAGGTTATCAATGACCAAATGTTTAGAATAAAGAACAATGCCTTAGTGACAGCACATAATTTAAAGAACAAAATCCTCTCAATATTAAAATCTTCAGAGATCTGCCAGTTTGGTCAGGAAGTGTATGTCTGAGATTAAGGCTCACCTAAAGGGCAGCTACACACTTGGGGTGGGGGGGGGCAGCGAGCAGATATAACCAGACTCTTAAACCCACTCATCTCCAACCAGAGGCAGGTGCAGGCTTCAATAAGTGCTGCTGGACAAAGGCAGGACGATGCTGGCAGCCAGGTGGCTGCCCACCTTCATGCCTACCCTAGTTCATTCTCTGGTCCACCACACACACTTGGGGCCATCTTTCCTTCCTGCCTGCCTTCATTTAACATTTTTGTGCCCTTAGGTGCTAAAATCACCTGCAGAAATCCACAATGAACGCCAAGCTTGAGAAATGTAGCAAGAACCAACTCTAGTAGTAGAAAAAGAAAGATTTCCAGCCCATCAGATTCAAACAGCAAGCATGGATTAAAAAGGGAGATTGAAGCGCTTGAGTACTTTCTCAGTGCATTAAATACCCATTTAATTTAAAATTAAGCTCACTGTGCTCACTGGACTTTTAATCAGCTTTCTAGGTCCTGTTCAGACTTGCCTGGAACAAAGGATTCAAAGAACCTATAAATTTATGAACCAATTTGCCTGAACTTAAGTGTTCCTGCTGTCACAAGCAGAAGAAATACCAGTGGAAACTAAAACATGAATTAAAACTTTGGTAATCTGCCCAGGCAGTGTAGCTCAGTGTTTGAGCATCAACCTATGAACCAGGAGGTCACAGTTTGATTCCCGGTCTGGGCACATGCCCGGCTGAGGACTCGATTTCCAGTGTGGGGCATGCAGGAAGCAGCTGATCAATGATGAGTCTCTCTCATCATTCATGTTTCTATTTCTCTCTCTCTCTCCCTCTCTCTCCCTCTCTCTCCCCCCTCCCTTCCCCTCTGAAATCAATAAAAGTGTGTGTGTGTGTATATATATATATATATATATATATATATAGAGAGAGAGAGAGAGAGAGAGAGAGAGAGAGAGAGCAAGAGAGCGCACTTAAGGCTTGCAGCATAATTACCTGATACAGTGTTGGGAACCTATGATTCTGACAAACCTGGAAATTTCATTAATTGTGGAGTTTCTGTTAAAAGCTTCTCTAGCAAAATGTGTCTGAACAAATGAAAGCAAAACCTTAGAAGCCTAAATAAAAATCGGTGTCCACAGCAGCAGTCAGCAAACATTTTCTGCAAAGAGCCAGAAGGCAATTATTTCAGGCTTTGCGGGTCAGATGGTCTGTTGCACTATGTAAATGAACGAGTGTGGCATGTTCCAATAAAACTTTATTTCCAAAAAGGAGCAGCAGGCTAGATTCAGCCACTGGGCCATCGAATGCCAACATCAGGTCAAAAACTCACAAGCTACCCTATATAATAAAAGGCTAATATGCAAACTGTCCCCTCGGGAGTTTGACCAACCAGGAGTTCGACCACTCACTATGACGTGTGCTGACCACCAGGGGGCGGCACAGAACGAGGAAGGCCCCAATCGGCCCTGATTGCTGGCCAGGCCTAGGGACCCTACCTGTGCACAAATTTCGTGCACCGGGCCTCTAGTTTCTTCATAAGTCAAAGAAGCAATGTGTCCTCATTTGAAGGCTTTAGACATCTCAATATTATCCACTAAAAAAAAAACAACAATTCTCAATACAGGAAAGGCATAATATGCTACACAATATTCTCTACACAGAAATCTAATTAAATGGGTAGGCATCCCAAGTTCTTTACTGATTAACTTTGAGCAAGTCACTTAACTTGCCTAACTCTGTCTCCTTAAGTTGTTTCTATACATAAGGCACAGTAGCCCCTGCCTATACTGTAGAGTTGTTGACAAAATTATAAGAGACTAAAGGCCCAATGCGTGAAATTGCGCGAGACTCAGACCCGCGGTGCCGCCACAGGACCCCCGGGCCCCAGACCCACCGCGCCGCGAGACACATCAATGCGCCTCCTGGGGACTGGTCATTTGGTCATTACAGCGTTACGGCCACTGGCCTTTTACAATATAGATAATCGAAGTGAAATGCTTAATTAAGCACACTGCCAGGCACAGAGGAGAAGCCACAGTTTCTTCTTCCTCGCAGAGTTTCTGGGTCTCACTGGAGACTACCAAGTAAAATACACTGGAAACCATAATGGTTAAATGAAAGTCTGCAGGTACATCAGAGAGGTATTTGTGTCTTAAAATATACTGGTGGGTAAATTACAATTCAAACATACAACCAAATAATCATAGGAAAGAATCTGGAGGAACAAATACCCAGAAATGTTTAGTATGCATATTTCTGGGAATTACAGGGAATTTTCATTCCTAAATTATCGGTTTCTTGATCACAACTATTCAAACAATGAACAGAGACCATTTTTTGTAATCGGGAAGAAAGCATTACACATAGCACATCTCTTTTAAGTCCCCTGTCATTAAATGTATCACCACTGGACTGAAAGTGAGTAAAAAGACATTTTTTCCTACATGTGCAAACTGAAGAAATGTACAATTAACAGTCCCTAAAGCTAATTTAAAAAGGCAATGAAAACAAAAATGCCTGTCCCGTATGTAGTAACATAAACCCAACTCACTATTGTTTAGCCATGCCCACACGTTGTACTAGAGAAGCCTTTCACAGGAGCTCCACAATTAATGAAATTAATTCAAGTCCGGGGTTGTGGGAATCACAGGCCCCCAACACTGTATCAGGTAATTACACCGCAGACTGTAAACTCTCTGGAACCTGTTAGCTTGGTGATCTCGGCTCATTTCCTAGAACCAGCTGCTCCAGGTTTGACAAACCAATCACTTCAGTGGACATGGTTTTTGTCATTCATAACAGAGACGTTTCCAAACACACCAAAAAAAAAAAAAAAGTGCAAACCATCCCCCACAACCACCCCCAGTCTCTATCTGAGCAGTGCAGCTGTTTGGGGATCCAGCCAAGTATAAATAGACATGTTTTACCTACAGGGTACCTGCAGAGCAGAATATGCTTCAAACGGATTTCCATGGCCAGGGCTCCTGCAAAGACTGGGCTACAGTGAACCCTTCAAAACCCACAAACATTTGGGATGAGGGTGAACCTGAAAACGACAGTGCACACTCTGAGTTTTTGTTTAACAGTCAATGTTTAGCAGTTTCTCAGCCAGAACTCTTCCCATAAAAATGCCTTCAATACTTAAAAAAAAATTACTTCGATTTAAAAATCAGAACTCTGACTTTCTTACCCTCATCTTAGCGCGTACTTTGAAATGGGAGAGTACACCATAACCTTTTCGGTGCTTAGGGTCTCCTTTTCTTTATAGGCGTGCATAGTATCTGCCTGGCACACTAGCTAATCTCATATTTCTGAGCCCCAAGAATGTTACATGTATATAGCTAGCTGCTGAGCTTTAGGGATAACTACTACATGGCAACTACCAACTTAATAAGGGACACACATGTAAACAGTAATGATATGATAGTGTGATAAAAGTAAGAATAAAAATTTTACAGGGATCAGGAAGGAGCAATAAACTCTCTAGAAGGTGGAGGCCCAGACAGCTGCCTGGAGAAGGCCAACCCCTGCCAAGTTTCACCACGTGGACACAGGAGAAGCCTAGTGACAAAGGAACGCGGCACTCCGAGTTCAGACCTACACGGAAGAGTAAGAGTGTAAGCAGGAGGTGATGGGAGAGGAGTCAGGAGAGACAGCCCTGTGAAGCCACATACCTCAAGAGCTGCGTGGCCTTAGAAGCCAAAGAAGGGAGAGAGAAGAAAACACACAAACCTCTGGCACAGACCCACCCTACAGAAATTACAGCCACACCCGGCGGCATGGCTCTGTGGCTGAGCATTGAACCAGGAGGTCACCGGTTCGATTCCCGGTCAGGGCACATGCCCGGGTGGCAGGCTCCATCCCCAGGAGGGGGCATGCAGGAGGCAACTGATGGATGATTCTCTCTCATCATTGATGTTTCTATCTCTCTCTCCCTCTCCCTTCCTCTCTGAAATCAATAAAAATATTTTTTAAAGAAATTACAGCCACACAACTGCTATGCACCAACAAATCTCTGCTTTGCTTTGCTTTTTCTTTACTTTTTTTTTTAAGCCCAGCTCCAATGTTTGTTCAGTCACAACTGCAGATTCAAAGCTTCACAAACGGTAGCACTAGAGGAAGTTGGTAATCATGTAGGTCAAACTCAAACCCAGACACAGCAAGAATCTGTTGTGTGACCACCAGTAAGGCCAGGCCGGACCCCACTGTGATTTCCCTGAGGTACGGCCGGTGGCTCCTAATCAATTCCCCCGGGCCCTGGGGTCCTCATCCTAGACCAGCTGTGGGCAAACTACGGCCCGCGGGCCGGATCCGGCCCGTTTGAAATGAATAAAACTATTGCAAAAAAAGACCGTACCCTTTTATGCAATGATGTTTACTTTGAATTTATATTAGTTCACACAAACACTCCATCCATGCTTTTGTTCCGGCCCTCCGGTCCAGTTTAAGAACCCATGGTGG